AACTCAACAGGAGGAAGACAGACAATCCAGTTAAAAAATGGGCAAAGGACCTGAGTAGATACTTCTCCAAAGAGGACATACAGATGGCCAAGAGACACATGAGAAAATGCTCAACATTGCTAATCATCAGAGATGCAAATTAAAACCACAATGAGGTATCACTTCACACTTGTCAGAATGGCTGCCATCAACAAACGACATGTTTTGGCGAGGATGTGGAGAAAGGGGAACCCTGGTACACTGCTGGTGGGAATGCGGACTGGTGCAGCCACTATGAAAAACAGTATGGAGGTTCTTCAAAAAATTAAAAATGGAGCTGCCTTTTGACCCAGTGATCCCACTTCTAGGTATATATCCTAAGAATTTTGAAACACTAATCAGAAAGAATATATGCACTCCTATGTTCATAGCACAATTTACAATAGCTAAGACCTGGAAACAGCCCAAGTGCCCATCAGTAGATGAGTGGGTAAAAAAGCTGTGGGACATATACACCATGGAATACTACGCAGCTATAAAGAAGGATCTTGTACCATTTGGAACAGCATGGATGGAGAATATTATGCTAAGCGAAATAAGCCAGGCAGAGAAAGACAGATTCCACATGACCTCACTTATATGTGGAATCTAAAGAACTTAATAAACTGATGAATAAAACAGATTCAGTTACATAGAAGCATGGAACAGACTGATGAATCTCAGAGGGAAGGTGGGGGTGGGTGGTTGGGTGGGGAGATTTTAACCAAAGAATATGCTTATGTGCATAACCCGTGGACACAGACAATAGTGTGGTGAAGGCCTGGGTTGGGGAGTGGGTGCAGGGTGGAAGGGGTCAATGGGGAAAAAAGGGACATCTGTAATATTTTCAACAATAAAAATAAAAAGATAAAAAAAGATAGCAATGGCATATTTCATGGAACTAGAACAAATATTCCAAAAATTCATATGGAACCCCAAAAGACCATGAATAGCCACAGCAATCTTGAGAAAGAAGAACAAAGTTGGAGGAATCATTCTACCTGATATCAAACTACTACAAAGTCATAGTTATCAAAACAGCATGGCACTGGCATAAAAACACATACATATAGACCAATGGAACAGAATAACGCAGAAATAAACCCACGCCTTTATGGTCAACTAATATTTGACAAGAAAAGCAAAAACATACAATGAGGTAAAGATAGTTTATTCAATAAATGGTGTTGAGAAAATTGGACAGATATGTGCAAAAAAATGAAACTAGACCACCTTCTTATACTATACACAAGAACAAACTCAAAATGGATTAAAGACTTAAATGTTAGACTTGAAACCATAAAAATCCTGTAAGCTCTGTGTGATAAAAAGTGTCCATAGGTACTGCTGATTTTAAGGTAGTTGTCTTTAGCAGTCAATTATGTAGATGGTGAGGATTTACCCATCTTTGCAATTCCTGTCCCATAAATGATCAGTCATTCATTGTCCATTCTCAAGTTTTTATAAATTTTCAAAGCCCTAAAATATGCTCTTTGATTAGTCAGAGCATAAATCAAACTTAATAAACATTTGTTTTCACAATAAATCTATAGATGTGACATGAGCAGGTTTGTATTTTGAGAACAGATTGCGGAGCTGGTCAGAAGATGGCAAGGAGACCAGTAAGAAGGCTGTTGCTTTTTACGTGTGAGAAATACTAGCAGCTTGATCTGGGGTAGAGGGTGGGGGACAGGTGGAGAAGTGGAGAGAAATAAAGAGCTAGTGTTGGTAGAAGCTTGAGGGTGATACATGGTTGAAGGAATGTTTTTGTTTTTATTTGCTTGTCTTCATTTTAAAGATGGCTGAGACTTGAAATGTAGGTGTGAGCCATCCTGTTGAGAGGAAGCAGTTGAACATAGAGAAAAGGATAACTGCTCCTGAGAAAAGATGGGAAGAGATGAAATTTAAATATGGAGAGAGGTCCACCCACCCCTACCCCCCAGCTAGGTTTTGCCAAATTGGCTTAAACTTTTGAACTGTAGGAAGTATCTAATACTAAGAAAAATAAAGGATAAATTAGACTAGACGAATGATTTCATGTTGGGTTTCTCTAGAACTGAGTTCTACCTTATGTAGGATTTTTAAAAAAAGAATTTAATGTGAATTTTAGGACACTTGTTAATTGGGTATGTGTACTTGTAAAATGAGAGTTGGGAGTCTCTGGACTCAATGTATTCCTGTAGCACTGAGATAATAACATTGATGGCGTGTATAATGGCTAAGCTGGATCTATCTTTTTGATCCTGCATTGCCTTTTTTCTTTTTGAATTAATTTTCTTCTATAATTATGAAAAATATTTGCATGGTTCCAAAGTAAAAAAAACTATAAAATAAGTTATATTCAAAGAAGTCTGGCTTCCAACCCTATGCTGTGTCCTCACTGTTCTCTTCCTCTCTCTAGGGAATCAGTTTTATTAGTTTTTTATTTTTACTTTTAAAATATAAGCAAACACAAGCACATTTATTTTTAATCTTCCTTTGTGGACAAAAGGTGACATTTTATTTACACGGTTCTGCACCTTTTTCACTCACTCCATGGCAGTGTATATATTTCCTTATACCATTTTACAGCTGCATAATACTTAGTTGCATCGTACTTGATCATGTAGATGTACCATGGTTTATTCAACCATCTGTCGTTAGATATTTAGTTTGCTTCCATTCTATTACCAGTATATCTTTGGAATAAATTTCTAGAAGTGAGATTGTGGGCAAAGTATAAATGCAGATGCATTTTGCTAGCTATTGCCAACTTTTCCCTTCATATAGATTGTAAAAATTTCTGTTCCTATTAGTAATATATGAAAATCCTTGTTTCTTTACAGCTTTGTCAATAGAGTATGTCAGACTTTTGGAGTTCTGCTAATTTGATACAGTAGTTGAGAAATGATTATGTAGTTTTAACAAGTAATTCCCTTCTTATGAGTGAGCTTAAACATGTTTTCTCTTACACTTTTTGAACTATCACCATATTTATTTATTTATTAAGGAGGTATTTCTTCGTTATTAATGCACCACTATCTTGAAGAATTAATCTTTGGATTTTCCCCCCGTGGGTGGTATTAATCACTCAAGAAACAGAGTATTACCAGGCATGCGTGATTAAATTAAAAGGGCCTATGTACCTATTTCTTGTATTCAAAGAAGTCACAATCTAATTTGTGAAGAAATACTTGCATTAAGATCATCATGGTTTATTGAAATAAATGCTAATAGAGATAAATACGAAGCTCTGTGGAGGCACTGAGCCTGGGATGGAGTGACTTGGGTAGCAGGAAGATATCAAGAAGATCTTCTGTTAGCATGTGAGGTAGTCTTTGGATTGAGTCCTTAAGGGAGGAGATTGCTAGGCTGACCCTGCCTGAAAGAGTATTCCTGCTAGAGGAAACAATGCCAAGTATGGTTTCTGAGGACTCACAGGTCGCCTGGTTTGGTGGGTTGTGGTGGAGTGGGCATTGAGACTGTAGCTGGACCATCTGGACCTACTAAGTCTCCACTTGCTGACCATAAACCCAGTTCTAAATTAACTGCAGCAGTGCCAACTCTAAAAGTTTTGATTAAAACATTCATATTTCTGTTAAGTTTCCTGAGGCACGCATCCCCTCTTGATAATCTTTCTGCTTCTCGTTTTTAGTAAACTTGTGAGGGGAACCCGGGAAGAAGAGTGATTTCATTCCCTCCTCATGTTATTGTAGAGTAAGCCTAAAGCCTTTATTTTTTGTCTGTGCTGTACTTTTAATTTATCCTTACTACTTGCGTTTTTTTTTTTGTTTTGTTTTGCAAAGTTTGAGGTTCCTTATTCAGTAGCTGGTTTCATTTGGTTAAGGTAGAAGAATCTGGTAAGATGAGAGTGGTTCTGAGAAAGTCAATAAGGCTGGAAAGATGGCCAGAGCCTTGTATCCCATTTCGAGGAATTTGTATTTTATCTTATAGTTAGTGGAGAGCCTCTAAAATTTTTTAAATGGATGAGGGACAGAGGAGAGGGTTTGGAAGAGGGGAACGACAACTTTAGCTATTCATTTTTGAAAGGTAACTTTGATGTCTGTGTTGAGGAAGATGGATCGGAGAAGGTACCCTATAGAAAAAAGAGCAGTGGTCCTCAGCACAACACCTGGGAATTTATGAGAAATACAGATTCTCAGTTCTTACCCCAGACCTATTGAATCAGAAGTTCTGGTGGTGGGGTGCAGCAGTCTGTGTTTTATTTGATTCTGATGCATGCCAAAGTTTGAAATGAGAGATATGGAGGTCAGTGAGGCTACGTTACAGTTTTTAAGTGCTTTTCACATTAATTATGTAGTTGATTTAGTTGAGATGTTCATTATATTTGTATTTTACATTCGCAATCAAGAGAAACAGAGTAAGTATCTAGGAATTTTTGATTGAGTTATTTATGTGAAGACCAAATACTATAAGATTTGAAAAGCTGGGATACTTTGGTAGGTAACATATTAAACTTGGGAAAGGGGAGACAGTCCAGGATCATGTGGAAAAATAAACTACGATCAGTGGAAATGTTGTAGAAAAAAATAAGAGGTACTTAATCTTGAATGCTCTAGATGTTACCTGTACATGACATTGATTTGTAATGTGGTACTTAAATCTGTATTAGGGAAAACTGATTGAAGATATAAAAGGGGGGAACATGAACTCTTTGTGGAGCCCAAAGGAAAGGATGGTGGGTTGCCCCAAGATTTGCTAAGATGCTCTTGTGCAATCAGTTCCACAGCTATTAAGAGGTGGTCTACTTTCAGTCTTTATATAATAGCTAGCAGCTGATTTGCATCTAACCCAGTTTTCATTTGTTTTTCTTTCAGGGTGCAAGGGCTGTGGGTTTAAATTTCGACTTTGTTGAAATGGGACGGAGTAAATCTGATAATCTTCTTTATTTTCCTCTGTTAGCTTTGCTGGGTGACCAAAAGTACAGTTAAAGCAAATGCTTTGTAAATATCAAAATTGCGTCTTAAAGGATAAGTAATTTTTTTCCCCCTTCACATTTTATTCCAGGACCCATCAGTTACACAGGTGACAAGAAATGTTCCACCAGGACTTGATGAATACAATCCATTCTCGGATTCTAGAACAGTAAGACTATTCTTAATTGGACTACTTTTAAATGTTAAAAGTGAAGTTAAATAGCAATTTTTTATAT